GCCTTAGGCTCGGACTCAAGCTTTGGAGCTAGTCTCGAGCCTTGGGCTCGGAGCTAGTCTTAAGCCTTGGGCTCGGACCTTGGCTCAAGTCTTAAGCTTGGACCCAGGCTTAAGTTTTGAGCTCGGACCCAAGCTTAGACTTGGGCTTGGACTTAGGCTCTGGGCTTTGGCTCTGACTTAGGCTTGGGCCTTGTTCTTCGACCCGTTACTTAGGCCTTAGGCTCGGGCTCGAACCCAGGTTTAGGCTTGGGGTTTGGAGCCAGGCTCGGGCTTTGGGCTTAAACCCGAGCTCAGGCCTTGGGCTCGAAACTAAGTCTCGAACATCGAGCCTTGGTCATTGGGCCTCAGGCTAGGCCTTGGGCTCAAACTCAGACCCAAGCTCGAGTCAGATCAAGACTTGAACCCCAAACCAGGCCTTGGACTCAAACCTAGGCTAGGGCCTTGGTCTCGGACCTGATCTAAGGCCTTGGGCTCGGACCTAGTCTTGCACCCAGGCTTATACCCTTTAAACTTGGGCTCAAGCCTTAGAATCGGAACCAGGCCTCGAGCATCGAGCCTTGGTCATTGAGCTTCGGGTGGGCCTTGGTCCTTGGGTCTCAGGCCAGGCCTTGGGCTCGCACACAGACTCTGCTAGAGTCAGGCTCGATTTTGGGGCTTAGGCATGGACTGGAGATAGATCCTTAGTCTCTGACCCAGTCTCGGGCCTTGGGGTCAGACCCAGGCTCAAGCCTTAGGCTCGAACCCGGGCTCATGTCTTGGGCTCAAGCCTTGTTCTTTGACACATTACTTGGACCTTAGGCTCAGGCCTGAGCCTTGGGCTCGAAATCGGGCCTTAGCGTTTGGGTTTGGACCCGGGTTCGAGCCTGGGGCACAGAGCTAGGCTCGAGCTTTGTGCTCATATATGCTCACTTTCAGAAGGCAGAAATTAAGAGACAAGTCCAAGACATGTTGAGATTGGGTATCATCAAACCAACTATCAGCCCCTTTTCATCACCAATCCTCTTAGTTAAGTAGAAGGATGGAACATGGAGGTTTTGTACTGACTATAGGGCATTGAACTCAGTCACCATTAAGGACTGTTTTCCTATTCCCATGGTTGAAGATATGATTGATGAGTTATATGACGCCACTTTCTTCACCAAATTCGACCTAACATTCGGATACCATCAAATCAGAATGCACCCTCTAGATAATCATAAGACAACATTTAGGACTCACAATGGGCATTATGAATATCTCGTCATGCCCTTTGGCCTATGCAATGCATCATCTACATTCAAAGCAATGAGCGGGCCTTTGTCCTCGTGCCTCGGGCTAGGCCTCGGGCTCAAACCCAGACCTCACCTTGGACTCAGACCCAGGCCAGGGCCTTGCTCTCAAACCTGGTCTAGGTCTTTGGGCTCGAAGCTGGAATCGGATCTTGGGCTTACACCTGGGCTCGGTCATTGAGCTCGGGCTTGGGTTCGGTCATTTGGGCTATCTTGTTTTTCTCCCCTTTCTTCTTTATTTTCACTCATAAAAAAATAGAAAAATCCCCACTCAAAGTCACTCTCTGCCTCTCGGTCCCTCTATCTGGTTTCACCTAAAAACAGTCAATTTCTCTCGAAATACTAAAAAAAAAAACTTCATCAATCATTCTATCCCAAATTCCCCTCCATGCTCTTCTTTTCCCATACCAATGATCTCTATTAATAAAAGCAACAGCTTCCCTTTCACGGTTAATCTCTGACCCATACACACACGGTTGAATCACAGGTGAGATGATGACCAAATCCATAAATTCTTTTTTCCTACTAACCTTTCTCTTTCCTCTAATTGCTTCTGATATGTTTACACGCTTATGATCATTTTCCTCAAAGATTTTCTCCTCTCTCTCTTGAACACATCACTCTTTGTCTTTTCCTTCTTCTCCCGCAGCCACATTGAAATGTATTGGGCATTAAGGTGAAACTTAATAGGAGGTCAAATGGGCTTTGATTATCAAAGGTTGAGCTAGATTTTTAATTGGGTTGGAGTTAGTTTTGTGTCCAAGAAAAAATGGCTTGGTATTAGAAATATGTTTAATTTTTAAATGGATTGGGTTCGAAAAAGTTATTATCTTAAAAAGAAGGAAAGACAAGGCTTGGTCTTGAAGTGGCTATTAGGATGGGCTTAGTTTAGTCTTTCATATGGACGGGGTATTTAGAAAGACTAGGCTTGCGCTTAAATGGCTACTAGGATAGGGTTAGTTTAGTCTTTCACATGTGTTGGGTATTTATGTTAAACTGAAAGGGCGAATGGGCTTGAAATGACTATTAGGACGGGTTTAGTTTAGTCTTTCATAAGGGTTGGGTATTTAGAAAGACTAGGCTTGGGCTTAAATGACTACTAGGAAGGGCTTAGTTTAGTCTTTCAGATGGGTTGGGTATTTATGTTAAACTGAAAGGGCGAGTGTGCTTGAGTTAACATAGTTAACTTGGGTTTTTAATTGGGTTGGATTAATTTTGGGTCTAAGACAAATAGCTTAGTCTTTGAAATGAGTTTAGTTTTTAAATGGATTGGGTTCAAAAATGGGATTATTTTAAAATGAAGGAAAAACTAAGTTTGGGCTTAAAATGACTGTTAGGACGGGCTCAGTTTCCTCTTTAATATGGGCTGCGCATTTAGGTTAAACTAAATGGGGTTTATTAACGAATGGACTTGGGTTAACAAGGTTGAGTAGGTTTTTAATTGGGTTCAACTAGTTTTGGGTCTCAGAAAAAATGGTTTGGTCTTATAAGTGAGTTTTGTTTTTAAATTCATTGGGATAATAAAAGGGATTATTTTGAACAGAAGGATAGATTAGGTTTGGGCTTAACACTGCTATTAGGAGGGGTTCAGTTTCCTCTTTC